AATGAGAAACAGTTCAGATGATTACCCTAGGGTGTGGGATCACCGAAGAGGGTGATATAGACTGGGTGGACATGGAAGAATCTAGGATCTGGGCACCTCTATGAACTAACTAATGGGGGTAAGGAAATAAGAGTTAGAGAATATTGGAATTTGAGATTTCAGGACAGAGCAGTACTGAGTGATGACACAGTAGGGTAGGGCTGTTGAAAGACCAGCATGGCAAAGAAGAAGCCAAATAAAAAACACTAGGCTTAAAGCTAAAGATCAGAGGAGCCAGTAGATCAGGAAGATCATCCTTTTGGACACTGGAGTCACCCAGATTGACAGTTGGCAGAATTTAGGGGAGAGAAAGGTCATAAACCTGCTGCTAAAATCATTTGTGACTGCAGAGATGGTCGGCAGGTTGACACATAACAGCGACGACATAGGAATGAGATGTGAGCCTCAAAGCCAAAGGAAATCTTACACGAGAGGGTGGAATAGTGACCTGGCAATAGCCTTGGACAGCAAGGGAGATATTAATTCCCAACTTCCAGCCTGAGTGGCAGAGGGTAGGTGAGAGGGATCCACTTCCTTTGAGAAGGATGAAAGGGAAGACTAGGGTCTCAGTTGTTGGTAGAAAATAGGGAAAACATGTAGTAGAAACATTAAGGATATAGGGACTCTGTTTACTATGGAATAGGTTCCAAAGGGCATGATTGAAAGACGAGGGAGGGAAATAGGAGACAAATGCATCCTAGGATAATACTATATAATAGATTAAAGACTACGAAGACAGCAGCTAAGGATGAAAGGGACAGGAGGCAGAGAGACCTGTGGCCTCAACTTGCTAGCTATATGACCTTAAGGGAGTTACTTGCTCTCTCTGTACCTCAATTTTATAATCTTAAAATGAAGATATACTAGTACTTATCTCATAGAGTTATTGTTGCTGTGAGGATTAAATGTGTTACTATATTAAAGTACTTAGAAAATTGATCATCATATAATTAGTCCTGAAAAAGCATTTGCTTTAGAAGAAAAAAGATTCCCACTCCACTCCACACTTTTCCTCAAGTGATGGACATCCAATTATATCAAACCCTAACCAATGCACCTTCACTTCCTGCCACATACAGCAAAACTCAGCATGCCAAAAAAAAAAAAAAAAGTCTGTCAGTCATTGATAGATTCAATTTATTGCAAATATAGCATTTAACCATTATCTGTCCTTTGAAAGGAAAGAAAGAGAGATGAAAAAGTTAGTCGAAGACAGTGAGAATCTAGACATATAAAAGATGGACAGTCGATAGACTCATCTAGTATACAACTCAACAACAAAAGATTAAATAACTGAATTAAAAACTGGGCAAAGAACTAGGATAGACAATTTTCCAAAGATGACACACATATAAATGGCCAATAAGCACATGAAAAGATGTTCAGCATCACTAATCAGCAGAGAAATGCAAATCAAAACCAAAATGAGTTATCACCTCACACCCTTTAAAACGACTATGAAAAACAATTACAAGTGTTAGCAAGGATGTAGATAAATTGAAACGCTTGTAGTCTGCTGGTGGGAATGAAAGATGGTGCAGCCACCTTGGAAAAGTTATGGCAGTTCCTCTGAGCTCAAAAAATTAAAAATAGAACTACCATGTGATCTAGCCATCCTACTTCTAGAACTGAAAGCAGAAACTTGAACAGATACTTGTACGCCGATGTTTATAACAGCATTACTCACAACGGCCAGGAGGTGGAAACAACCCAAATGTTTATCAACAGGTGATTAGACAAAACAAAATGTGGTATATACATACAAAAGAATATTATTCAGCCTTTAAAAGAAAGGAAATTCTGGCACATGCTACAATCTGAATGAATCTCGGAGGCATTATTGTGAAGTGAAATAGGCATTCACAAAAGGGCAAAAACTGTATGTTTCGATTTTTATGCGATACCTAAAGTAGTCAATTTCATAGAAACAGAAAATAGAATGGTGGTTACTATGGGCTGGGAGTAGGGGGAAGGGGAAGTTGTTTAATGAGTAGAGTTCCAGTTTTGCAAGATGAAAAAGTTCTGGAGCTCTGTTTCACAACAATATGAATGTATTAACACGACTGACCTGTACACTTAAAAATAGTTACGATGGTACACTTTATGTTGTGTTTTATACCACAATAAAAACAATTTTAAAAAATACTTGTATCTCTAGTATCTCTCCTCCTCTCTCTTTACTGATGAGTAAAGTAAAGCCCAGAAAAAGTAACTGACTCATCCAAGGTCACACAGCTTATTAAGGCAAATCAGCACCAGAACCCAAGACTCTGACCTCAGCTTCAGCGTTCCTTCCACTACATCGTGCTTTCGATGCCAGGTGCTGAGATAGTGGAAAAGATGACATGCTTGATTTATCAATAGTAACACTGACATTCTGATGAAACTGAAAAGGATAGAGCTTCTACTCGGTGCTTATAAAAGCTCATGTGCTTGTGTCCTTTCTTCAACTCGCATCAGGATTATTCCAACCAACGGGTCTGAGAAGCCACACTGGAAATCTCAAGATATTCACAGCTTCTCTCTCTGGTCTGTAATAGGCCAGAAAGCAGATGAGAACAGCTTTTCTGTTCCCAGGCTATTGCCCCTGTAATTTAGAAGTCCAGACGGTTACACCGGAAAACAGGAAGAAAAACTCAAGGGCCTACTTAAAAACAAGCTCAGTGTGAGGTCTCCAATGTCACGAGCAAAGCCAGTACTTAAAACTTGCTACTTGGAATCCGGTTGTCTCACTCCTGTCTGGACTCAGAGAGGAAGTCCTTTTCGTCTGGACTCAGAGAGGAAGTCCTTTTCGCCTTTAGGAGTTTTCCTTTAGCTCCTTATTCCAAATTCCATAAAGGAGACAGCAGGAGAAGTTGGCCCCAGCTTAAGAAGCAGAGATGAAAACCAGACTTTTGTTTTTTTTAAGGGTAGTGTCCATAGGTTACCTTCCATTTTATATCAGAAATTTCTACTGTTTCCATGGAAACAATGAGTATGGCTGATGATCCCCCACAAGATCTGGCTTGTTGATTCTATAAATCTCCACGGGTTTAAAAGTGTCAGAACTAAGCTGAAGCTCAAGGCCCCACTCCTCCAGTCTTCTTGGCTCGTAAACGTCTCAGGGATGCAACACCCCTTTGAGCTCTGAAGATTTAAGGAAGAGTCTCCTTATACTAATATGTCCCGTGATGAGAAACTACAAAAAAAAAAAAAAATTTGGCAAAGACATTTCTAAAGGTCTTTCCACTCCAGAAATTTTTTTTCAGCAATCCTATCGAGGATGCCTATAAAAAGCCTTCTGTGTTCTCTTAAGCATTTTTAATAACTCCTCAGGAAGGATGTAATAAGATGGGGGTCAGAGATTCTGAGCTCATGCCAGATGCTGAGGCTGCCAGGCTAACTTGGTGCACAGGTGGCAGCACTGAGTGCCCCATGCTCTCACTCCTCCCATCGGCATCGGCATGGTCTCTGCCCACACTCCGGGAGGGAATTGGCTTTGCTCCTGGCTTGTCTGTGGGTCTGCTAGTTATCAAACCAAAAGAAGATTACTTCCATGCCCAGTTTCGCAGATGCTCGAAAGCACAGAGCCAAGGATTTGCTAAAACAGAAGGGAAGACTGACCCGAGAAGGCTTCTTGACAAGACTCGGCCACACCTGAGCTGTTGTTCCTGCCACAAGACACACCTGTCATATCACAGCCAATGAGCCATTCCAGAAACATCATGCATCTCCTGTTTAGAAATGATCCTGGGAAACAAGGACCTTCCTGAGATGGCATCAAGCATGAAAACGAGGATGAAAGCCACTGGGCCCTTGGCCCTCTGCAACACACCGCCATTTGCACAGACAGAAGTCAGGAGGTAAGAAGGCTCTGCTGCCTCCAGATGTCGCCCTTCTTACCTCCACCTTCTCTAGGTGTATTTTTCCCAAACTTCAAGGGCCGTCTTCACGGCTTGAAACTCCAGGGGAGCTGGTCTCCTGATAAAACTTTCCATTTCAAAGTAAATGATGGCAAAATGCTTTTTCTAAGCTAAATGATGTCTTGTTCTTGGTTCAAGGCAAACCAAAAGGACCTTTAGGATGGAGTCACATATTGCACCTGGGAACAGAAACACAAGCCTCTTAGGACCACCTTCATTGCCCAAATGCCAGAGGCCATTGGAGTATCTGAGACTCCTTCAACAGCTCTGCCTTCAGGAATTAATTCCTGAAGAATTTCAAAAACAATTCCTTATCACCTTGTCCAAGGAAACCAGGACTCAATATCCAAAAGAAACTGTAGAGATGGAGACCCCAGAGGATGACTAGATCCAAGGCTTAGAAAGAGTGGAGGGCATTAGAGAAAGGACAGGGCCAAAATTATTCCAAGGCAAGAGAGAAGAAACCAAAACTATTGATTGGGAGAAGAGAGAAAGCAGAAAAAGAAGGATAGCTGTTTTTGAGGGACCCAGGGAGGAAATCATCCTTCTGGCACAAGGGCTAGAAAGAGAAGTTACAGAGAACACTGAGTGAGGGCACTGAATTTTTTTACTATTCATTTGGAAGACAGGAAAAGGAATGGCATCCATGATTATGTCATCCTCTTTATAAAGATGAGAATGGAAGAATGAACTTCGTCATTAAATCAAGACATTTCTTTTTTATAAAGCACCTCCAAGCTTGTACAGATAAAGAAAAGCCCCATGTGTTACACTCAGTACTGACTTGGGAGTCTTCTCTTCTGTGCAGTATTTGTGAACCAAATCTGAGAATCAAAGATATGGAGAGGGAAGGGAATTGCCACCTACTGAACATTCACTCTGCTCTGGGCACTGGGCTGGGGACATTATTTTCAAGACCTTTGAACTCCAAACCCATATAAGCAGCTGCCTACCCAACATCCCCACTTGGATATCTAAAGGAATCTCGAATTCGCCCCAAACTGAGCTTTAGACCTTTCCCCCAATCTCCTGTCGCATCCACGGTCTTCCCTTTTCCGGATGACGGTAACTGAATCCTTCCAGTTGCTGAAACCAAAACCCTTAAAGTATACTTGAATCCTCTATTGCTCTCTTACCTTGTACCTAATCTATCAAGAAATTCTGTTGGCTCTACTTTCAAAATGTAATGCAGAATATCTCTGCTTCTCCCCACCTCTACTGCCACCAGCTTGGTTCAGGCCACCCTCATATCTTACTCGAATATTGCAATGGTCTTCTCGCTTCTACCTTTGGCCATATATAATTTATGCTCACTACAGAAGCCAGCAGGTCTTTTTAATATATGGGTCAAATTATGTCACTCCACTACTTAAAATCATCTAGCAGTTTCCCATTCTACTCGAAGTAAAATCTCAAGTGCTATAGTGTTACAAGGACCCACCCATGTAGACCATATATGTTCTCTCCCTGATGCCATCTCATGACATTCTTTTGCTCACCATGTTTCAGCCTCACAGGCCTCTTTGCTTTTTCCTGAGCACTCCAGGCATGTCCCCACTTCAAGACTGGATGTTCCTTTTGCCTGGAATCCTTGTCCCCTAGATCTCATCTCAACTCATTCTCAAAGCCTACCTCAGTGACTCCCAGCTATCTTATTTAAGATGTCAAAACTCTCCTGAAACACACTCCTGGCACCTTTTCCTGCTTTATTTGTTTTCCAAAGTCCTTACATTCTGTTACTTATTTCCTTTATTTATCTTCTATCTCCCTTCTCTAGAATATAAGTTCCTGAAAGATAGGATTTTATTCACTGTTGTATCCCCTTTGCCTAGAATAGTAATTGGCACACCAAAAATGTGATGAGTGATCTTACACAGTTTTTACCATCATCTTGCCTTTCACTGGCACTAGTTTGCTAAAGACTAAGCAGTCATCTTTACCTCTTTATGCCTAATTTTACCCTCTGTAAAAAGTCTGTGAGTTGATGATTCTACTTCAAGTCTATTCTTCACCCAGAGGCCCCATTCCAGCTATTAAAGTATGTACTTGACACCACAGAGCTGCCTAACCTGTTGGGCCACAGCATTAGCTCACGCAGCCCAAAGGCAATTCCTGATTTTCAGGCACTGTTGGGGGATAAAAGGAAGGTACAAAGAAACCAGAAGAGTCAGCATCAAGGATTTCATAGAGGATAGGAAATTTCAGTTTGGTCCATGGAGCTTGGATTCCTCCAGATAGCTTTGAGCACTCACCATTCGAAAAACTCGTGTGTGTGTGTGTGTGTGTGTGTGTGCGCGCGCGCGCACATACCCATGCACCATGCCTAGAAGAACTGACATCACCAAATCCCAGACAACTAAAAATCAATTTTATCCTAAGTGGCAGAGATGTCTTGGGCGGGGGAAAGACATTTAGAATAGTTATGGAGAAAAGAAGCATACGTCCTGAGTTTGCATGCAGAATATAAAAATCACTTGCCATAGTCAAAGATGTCTAGCTTGTCATATATTTTACATTAAAAATAAATATATGGTTTAAGGGACAGAGATGAGGGTAGCTGTAATATCTCCTTCTGTTACTGTTCCACCTTTCTCCCTGAGAACACATAGTACTTTCTAGAAGGAAGGCTTTATCTTATTCCTGGTTTATAAAAATGATTGTTACTGACTTTAGGAGTAAGGCATGGGCATTTTCAAGTCCAGCCACTCATGATTTTTAGCCTAATCCTCTTTATAATTAAAGAATGTTTGTCCCGGGAGATGGGGAAGAATACAATGATTACTTACAGAGCACCTGAAGTCTTTATCACTATCTCTATTTTACAGATGAGGAGACTGAAGCTTATAGACATTAAGTGACTTGCACAAGATCACCCCAGCCAGCCAAGACTTGAACCCAGAACTGATGAACTCCGAATGTTCTACTCCCTCAGCTACGTAGTCTTACCTTTTTGCTAAGAGGAGTGGGAGCTATGCATGGGCATTAATCATCAATTAGCCTCACTTGTGTGTAGTCTTACCTTTTTGCTAAGAGGAGTGGGAGCTATGCATGGGCATTAATCATCAATTAGCCTCACTTGTAAGCTCCAGACCAAAAAACGTATAATACACAACTTTTAGACCCTTTGACCTGTTTCTCTCCTTTAAAGAAATTGGACTTTTAGAAAGAGTGATAATAATAACACAAGACAGAATTTGATGATGAACCAGAATGATTGCTTCAAGCCAAAAGAAGTCAGATTTGATCCAACTCTCAAAGGACCTTTTCCAGCATCATCAACCTTTACCTGTAAGGTGGGAATAATTTTTCTATTTTTTACTTATGACTTTTTACAACTCTAAACATCTCTAGCAATTAAAATTTGTGACACAAATGATTCTTGAGTGATCCATTGGGATGCTACCAATTATTAGTAATAGAAAACCCGAAGAATGTAGTTTTAAAAATAGGAATGTTTATATCTTTTATAGCAAGAAGCATACAGACAGGGAGCTTCTAGGGTTGGCGAATTCCGTAGCTCAGTGACATTATCAGAACAGTCATTCGTTCCATCATGCCTCTCTACTATCTTCTGAACAAAGGCTTGTCTTCTTTAGGCAGGCTTCCATAATGGTCCCAAGATGGCTGCCCCAGATCCAGCTAAAATGCAGATGATAACCATGAGAGGTAGAAAAAGGAATATTGCTGGCTTGGGTCCCTTTATATAATCAGATAAAACTTCCCTCTCCTAGGCCCAGCATAAAGGCACAGGGGCTACCTAGGAATATGTATTTCTAATAGTGCTAAAGAAGCACAAGAAATGTCCAACTGAACAAGTACATTTCAAGCCTCAGCTTACATACATCATGTCTGCTAACATTCCATTGCCCAGAGCAAATTCCATGGCAAAACCCAAAGTCAAGGAGTGGAGACATTACTGCTCCTACAATAGGGCTAGGACAAGGGTACGAATGTATACTACCACAGTAAGTAAAGAGTTGGGACCAAAAATTCAATCTACTGTCATGCTTATAGCAGGTAGAACCTTACAAAATTGACATCTTTTAGGTACGAAATGGTCAAATACTGACCATCTCATGTGATTCAATTCGATATACTACCATCAGTAGAGCTATGACTTAAACTAGGCCTTTAGTCCAATATCTACTAAAACTCCCTGGAAAGCAACACAAACAGGTGATACTCTATACAAAGCACATATGTAATTGTCTGTCTCTGAAATAGCAATTTGGTTCCCTTTAAGTAGAGACATGCTCCATTGGAATCAAGCACTCATTAGAGGATTATATGAAAATAAACCTTCAAAGTCGAGTCCCAATAAAATTCTTCCGTGGAGAATCAGAGGTATGCTGGTCCCACAGGACATCTATTACTTTTAAGTAAAGCTTTAATTATATTCGAGACTTTGTTATAATTGTCCCTGGTGAGTAAACTTCTCCTTCAGAATCACACTAATAGTGCATCCTAATCAAATTTCCTAACAAAATATGTAAGTATACATTCATTTCTTCCCCTAGATCATGAGCTCTTTGAATGCAGGGACCATGTTTTATTTATCTTTACATGCTTAATACTCAACTTAGTGCTTGGCAGATAGTATGGGCTAAGAAATATTTAACAAAAGAAGGGGAGTATATTAGTCAGAGAAGATTAACTCTAAGGGCACTACAAACAGGAAACAAGGCATGGGGGAGGCACAGTAGATTCTTACTACCTTGGCCTAAAGTGATACAAATAACTTCTGCTTCCATTCTATTGGCCCTAGCTAGTCACATGGCACCTCTTAGTCACAAGGAGGGCCTGGTTAGGCAAGAGCTCACACAACGGAGAGGGAACATGAGCCTTTGGTGGCCAGCTAGCTATCTCTGCCACAGGGAAAAGAAGGGGAAAAAGGGAGGGAGAAAAGGAGAGAACTTAGTCAATTCCTAAATATGTAAGTATGACATTTTAAGCCCTGTATAAAGAATTCTGCTCAAACTTCCTGACAACTGGAACTTACAACCAGCTGTAGAAAGCTGTTGAAAAATAAGCTCGAAGAGAAAACACTAAAAATAAAAAAATAAAAATAAGAGGAAACCTCATGGCAGTTTTATGTCTTAAGCATAGTCAAAAAGAAGGAAAATTTCAGGAGTAGGGAGAGGGTTCTGGATATGTCTATATGAGTTCTGTGTCTTAACTTGAGAGAGGAGGGAGAAGAGGGTGTTGGAAAGCTGCCAAACTAGAAAGGCTCTAAAGAGAGGAGGCTTAAGGGGCTCAAGGGAGAAGCATTGTTAAGGGATACTACCTACTCTGTAGAAGACTTAACTCTTCAGTCTGAAAAATAAACCAAAGGAATTTGGAGGACATGATTCAATAATGAGAGAGTCATGTTCATCAGGATTTGGGAGTAGCTGATGAAGAGGAGGCTGCTGCCCATGAGATAAGCAACCACTTTCCAGAGGTTGTATGCAGTGAGAAAATATGTTATTAGAAGCCAGGAAGTGACAGGAGAAAGATAAGAGTATTTGTGGTAGAGACCAATAACTATTTACCAAGATCCATTTCTCTTCTTCCTGGCACACAGCCTCCCTGCTATTCAGTATTACTATGTCAACGGAATATGAACAGAAATTATATGTGCCACTTTCAGTCTTGGCCTTTGAAATCTTCCTGTGTGTGCTTCTCCATGCTTTTTTTCTCCTTCCATTTGGATGCAAACGATAATTAAGTCCCAATGTTTTAATGACATCACAGATGGAAGGAGACTGGGTCCTTGAATGACTGCATAGAAGAAGGCCTATTTCCCTAACTAAACACCTGCCAGGACTATTAAATGAGTAAGAAATACAATTATATTGTATAATGGACACTGTGATGGATCACCCAAATTCCATTTCAGTGAAGGACTTATTATCCCAACTGAGGGAGTGCTGTCGGCAAAAAGCCTTCAGCTGTCAGCCTCTTCAGGGACTGCTTCAGCACTAAGAGAGTTGCTTTATCCAAGTTTATATGTTTCTGAGAGAAGCCCACATCCAGTGATCAACCATATAAGTGCATGACCAGCCATTGCAATCCAACATGGAACATCACTAGCAAACCAATTTAACTTCTATGGGGTTTATTAAGGTTGTCAGCAAGCCTGACTCCCCTCGACTTCTCCCTCACCCAATTCTGCTTCCTTTCCCTCTTTTGTAGAGATTTTAAATCTAATAATGCTCCCTAATAAGCATCCTGAACATTAAACTTCCAGAGTCTGCTTCTTGGAGAACCCACCCTGAGACATACTGTGAATAACTACATAATTGAGTATGTTTGGTACATCTTCCTGGCCTTATCTTAATTCATAGAGCATAGAGGTGGAACACTTTTTCTGCTGACATGGCTATATCAGGGCAGTCAGCAGGCATGTGCCTTGCTATTTAGAAAAGGCTATGCCATCTGCGATAGGAGAGAATTGGGCCAACACACAAGGAGTAGAGAGACAGATGGGACAAAGAAAATCCCAGCTGGGATGAGCTTCTTTCCAGGTTTTGAAACAGTGATTCCTAAAGCTTTTCCTTGAGCTGCTCTAGTATCTTTCCCACCTACAAGAACCAATAAACTTCAGCTTCCTTTTTCTTTTTGTGTCTGCCTGAGAAAAGCTCACTCCCAACCTTGCACCCCCCACCACCCATACAAGACAATGATGACACCCCTGTTATTGAGTGTAGGGGACACCAATGTTTTGTCATCACTCTAAATTGAGTTTACCTCCCAGGCCTTATTGGCCTGATTTAGGGTAAAACAGTAAGAATGATCCAGTTTGCTCTCAGGAGAAAGATGTCCCCCACATTCAACATGGATCAGGCTAAATTTGAGTGGAATATTAGTGAAGGCTGCCAAGTGCACAATTTGTCCATTACTGCATTTAACTGGGATAATTTTTACTATGTTTTCTGTGCATGTAATATCTCTGCTGAAAAATGTTTCAAGGCTAAAATGTTCTCCTCATTTGCCACTCATTTCACACCAATTTAACTGAATACCACTATGGGAAAGTGATGACATACACCATCTCATTTAATGTTCAAAACTACCTTATGAGGAAGTATTATTATTTTTTTACTGTGGTAAAATACACATACATTAAATTTACTGTGTTAACCCTTTCTGAATATACAAATCAATAGCATTAATTATTTTCATTTTGTTGTGTAACCATCACCACCATTCATCTCCAGAGCTTTTTCATCATCCCAAAATGAATCTCTCTACCCATTAAACAATAACTCCCCATTTTTACCTCCCCCCAGGTCTGGCAACCACCATTCTATTTCCTGTCTCTATGAATTTGCCTATTCTAAGTACCTCACATAGTGGAATCACATAGCATTTGTCCTTTTGTGTCTGGCTTATTTCATTCAGCATAATGTTTACAAGGTGCATCCATATTGTAGCATGGGTCAGAATTTTCTTCCTTTTTTAAATCTGAATAATATTCCACTGTATGAATATACCACATTTTGTTTACCTATTCATCTGTTGATAGGTATCGGGTTGCTTCTACCTTTTGGTGATTATGAATGATGCTGCTACAAATATTGGTGTACAAATATCTGTTTGAGTCCCTGCTTTTGGTTCTTGTGGGTTTATACTGAGAAATAAAATTGCTAAATCATATGATAATTCCATTTTTAATTTCTTAAGGAACCTTTATAGTATTTTCCACAGCAGTTGTACCATTTTACACTCTCACTAGCAATGTGCAAGGGTTCCAATTTCTCCACATCTTCAGAATGTATTATTTTTATCTCCATATCACAGTTAAGGAAACTGAGGCTCAGAGAAGTGGTGATTTCCTCACAATTACACAACTACTAAATAGCAGATCCCACATGGAAAACTCAGATTCTTGCCTCCAGGTCTATCACACTTCCCTAGCCCCACAGCTGCCTCAGACACAGAACAGTAAAAACGAAAGTCCACTAAAACCTAAAGCGATTAGAACTATATCTGGGAAAGAATTTGCTTCTGGGAGTTACCACCCCAGTTGTTTTTTTCATAGTGACAGCTCTATCTCCAGCTTCATTGATAAAAGGCAATCCTATCGACTGAGAAAATATTTCATTCCTTCAGTCAGCCACCATTCATTCATTCAACAAGTATTCATTGAGTGCATATTGGGTATCAAACATGTTCTAAGGGCTGTGAACAAGACTGCCAAGGTTCCTATTCTCATGGAGCTCAAATTCTAGAGAAGGAGACAGGCAATAAACAGAAAAGGAAATAGCCTGGACCATTTCAACGCTATAAGTGCACTAAAGGATATC